CGGCGCCCAACAGCGCCCCCTGCCGCTCCGGAGGGCCGCTCTCCACAGCTTCTCATCGGGCCTGCGCGGACCCTACCACTTCCACCTCAACCCCCCTCGTCCACCCCCTCTCCCCGCCTCGCTTGGTTTCGCCGGCGGCCCGGTGAGGCGGGCCAGGGCCGGGCCCGGTGAGGGGAAGTTTAGGGGGGGGAGGGAGGAGGCGATGGCGGCGGCGAGCGGCGCCTCAGGGAGCGGGATGGCGCAGAAGACGTGGGAGTTGGCCAACAACATGCAGGAGGCGCAGAGCATCGACGAGATCTACAAGTACGACCGCAAACAGCAGCAGGAGATCCTGGCGGCCAAGCCATGGACCAAAGAGTGAGTGAAGGCCGGGGCCTGAGGTACCGACCGGGCCTGAGGTACCGGCGGGGCCTGAGGGCCTGAGGTACCGGTTGGGTGGGTGGATCAGGCCCTAATGGCCTCCTCCGCCTCTCTCTTGCAGCCACCATTACTTCAAGTACTGCAAGATCTCGGCGCTGGCCCTCCTGAAGATGGTGATGCACGCCAGGTCGGGGGGTAACCTGGAGGTGATGGGGCTCATGTTGGGCAAGGTGGACGGGGAGACCATGATCATCATGGACAGCTTCGCCCTGCCGGTGGAAGGCACCGAGACTCGCGTCAATGCTCAGGCGGCCGCCTACGAGTACATGGCTGCCTACATCGAAAACGCCAAGCAGGTGAGGAGATGGTGGCAGAGGGTGTTTCTCTCCCTCCCATGGTGTGGCTGCTGATCTGGTCATCTAATCATGTAAGAACATATTCTGGGGTTTGCAGGCTTGCCCCCCTTCCCTGATCTGGTCATCTAATCATGTAAGAACATTCTGGGGTTTGCTGGCTTGTCCCCCTTCTTCTCCTCCCACAGTGATAACCTGGCTGTCCAGATACCCTGTTTTCGTATCAAGCGTGGCTAAGAAACTGTTGGCAGCAAGGAAGACAGGGCCCTCCAAACATTTTCACGCGTACGTTTCTGTGTCTTGCAGTAGATCATCAAGTACTGGATTCTCCTTTCCTTTATAAAGGATTTTAATCACTCAGGAAGTGTTTTTGTGGCTGCAGCTAGTGGCTTGGAACAAGGATGTGGGATGGAACAAGGAGGGAGTGTGCTTCTAAAATAACTTGATATACTGCATTTCTAAAAACAGTATGCAAAATTAAAATATAAAATATGTGTCACAGAATCACAGAATGATGTGGGGTTGGAAGGGACCTCTGGAGATCATCCAGTCCAACCCCCTGCCAGAGCAGGGTCATCCAGACCACGTTGCATGCAAACTTGTCCAGGCAGCTTTTGAATGTCTCCAGAGACGGAGACTCCACCACCTCTCTGAGATACTTACTACTTGTGGATCAGGAAGATGACACTTATTCTTGGTTTCTGAAGTCTTACTGCATTCATTTCACACATTTGTGAAGAAAAAGCCAGTGCAGGAATAAGTAAGTTTCAGTGCAACTTAACTATTCATAATTTGGAAATTTAGATCAACTGATTTAAACGTCTGTTCCCCCTCTTTGTCACCCTGTATTCAGAAATTCATGTTGTATTAAGCCAAAATGTGCAGTAATATTCTCACATGCAGGATGGCAGAAATAGGAATCTGCTTTCTCTGTGGCTGCTGTAGAAACCAGCACGGCCCATCACAGCTCCCACTAATGTGCTTCCTCCAGTACAGGGCAATCCTGTACTAAGAATAAGCATTGAAATAGCTAACTCTCTAAGCTCAAATAGTTTTGAGGCCCAGTTTACCCTTTGATTTTTCTTTAATCCTCTAAGTATTTTAAACTAGCTAAAATTGAAAGCCTCTACTTATTCACTGCAGATAACAGAGCAGTATTTGGGTTATTTTGGAGAGTTGTACTTCTATTCACAGCCTTATATACAGGTAGAGGTATGTGAATTAGGCTGGATCGTAACATCAGAAAAGATTAAACATAATCCAGAAGTGTTCTGGGACTTTTTTAATAATTCATCCCTATTTATGAGAAAAATCAGAAATAATTTATTTAATCGAGTTCCTTTTATCTGGAAATTATAAACATCTACTCCTAATACTGTTGTTGCAGAAGAGTAGGTAACTTTAAAAGATGTCTTTACCTAAAGATATATTCATATTATGCAATTCTTAGGTAGAAATGATGGGTTTCAAAATAGTATATCCCATAAAATTAGTATTTTTGCATACAGTTAGTGTTATGTTTAACGCGGTCCAGGTTTATATAGGAGTACTCACGATGGGAAACAGGGTTTTTTAGTTGTTTATACTGTACAGTTTTATCTGTAGTTGGTTTCAAATTTTGAAATCAAACTTGTGTGCAAATATAATAACTCAGCTTTATTGGTGCTCTGGGAGAGCTTGCATGATGGCTGTTCTGCGTTTGATTTTGGCACGTAGCTGTTCCTGAAATAACTGTTTTTAATATTAGATTGCAAGTTTATATATTGCCCTGCAGAAGTACTTGCTTCTCCATGGGCAGGGTCTGGTCTTAATACAGTCAAAAACGTGTTATTTGGCTTTGAAAAATACCATGTTCTTTAGTGTTTTGTTGGTGCCTCTATTATGGGAATTGCAAAGAAAATATAAATATTATTCAGTAATTCAAAAATAAAATAAATGCTCCATTCAGTAGCCAGTTGGTTTGTTCTGTCTCATCTTAACGTTTTTCTGATTTAACCTTCCTGACGTATTCGATATTTGGCAAAACCAAGCAGGTGAAGCATCCAAACAGACAGCTCTCAGTTAGGATCTGGTATATAGGGTCATACCAAAATTGTTCTACTTGGTCTAGAGCAGCCAGTAAATAATTCCTGAGAGAGGGTTACAAAATTAGGTGCAATGGGTGTTTGTTTCCCTGGGTTTGGTTTCTGGTTTTGTTTTCTTTGGTTTTATTGCAGTGTTTGTGGAGATAGCTAAGGGTATTATTTGGAAAGTGCTATTTTGAGTTTTTCTGATCCTAAAAAATCTCCAAAATTCATCTTTTGGCTTTCAGAGCCTAATTTCTGTCATGTGTGGTGTTAGAAAACATGCCTCAAGTTATTTTTTTAAACCTATCAGTAATCTCTCTTTATGCCTCTGAGATGTGTTATTGTAGTAACAGCCCTTTTCTACTGTCATACCAGACATTATATGAGATTATATATATTGATGTCATATCCCTGGTGAGGAATCCCAGCGTCCTCACCATCTATCTCACCGTGTGGAATCCCTTCTGTACTTCAGCTGCCATCGAAGAAGGAGCTCCTGGCTCCTTGGTGGTAGCACCTGTTAACAGAGAATGCTAATGCTACAGATTGTATGGTTTCTAGAAAATCGCTTAGCAAAATAAGGTGTAAGTTTAATATTTAGTTTAGCATCGGTACGTTAGTATTGCAGGCTGTGTGTGTGTTCTTTTTCAATCCTCTTCCCGTGCTGTAGCGTGCTGGAAGGCCCAAGAGGCTGTGTGTGTGTTCTTTTTCAATCCTCTCCCCGTGCTGTAGCATCCTGAAGGCCCAACAGATGGCAGCTGGTGCTTTCGGGATGGAGGTGTAACCCTGGGTTTGTTTCCCTTCCCTGCTGCCAGGTTGGTCGCTTAGAAAATGCGATTGGCTGGTACCACAGTCACCCCGGCTACGGCTGCTGGCTCTCGGGCATCGACGTCAGTACCCAGATGCTTAATCAGCAATTCCAAGAACCCTTCGTAGCAGTGGTTGTAAGTACTGGCTCCTAGTTGATAAAAGTTGTGTTGGGGGGGGAATCATTTTTAGATTTCTGTCTGTTAACATCCTACGAGCGTGTGTTCCGCGTGATGGAAGTGTAAGATCCAAATTTTTCAAAATTGGTATCCCTCCTTTTGGTTTGTTGAAATTTTTCAAAATTGGTATCCCTCCTTTTGCTTTGCCACACACCAGTCACACCAGTAGTACTGCTTACCAGGGGTATTTTCACTGCATTGTTCCAGGTATGGAATCTCTGCAGAAATCCATACATCACCCTTCACTTAAAGATTGACTTCTCAAAAATACGTCTTGAGCAATCCACATTCAGCCTCTCCTGATTCTTTTGTTCTCTTTGTTTCTTTTTTCCTATGGAAACAGAGCAAAGGGTGTGCACAGAGTTCTGTCACTTTGCATCTAAGATGCCTTTTAAATTAAATCAATGGCCTGGTGGAAGGTAGAAGACATTAGGAAATCTGTCTTTGAAGAAGAAGTCTGAAGAAACTTTTTGGGCCCTTCAGGGTCTTCCAGGCTTCAGATCACAAATTAAACCTTATCTTAAGCGCTACTTGTATAACCATTGCTATTGAAGGAAATAAAGGGAAAAAGACTGGAAGCAGTAAAAGGGAATATAGCTCTGATGGAAGAATTATGTTAGAATTAAGAAGTACTTCCACCATGTGAGTTCTCCTGTGCTGTGACATAATTTCACAGATTCAGAACAATTTCCTAGGAAGTTTTTTTTTCTTTCTTTTTTAGTCACTTTTAAAATTAAACAGAACATTATTAAATATGTTAGCAAGGAGATTCCTTCATTAATTTCCTGTATTTTCCACCAAAATACAGCAGATCTCATAATACCTTTTCTTAACCCCTACTTGTTATAGGATTAAAATGCAGATTTTTATTATGGTTTATTGTGGTCCATAGAAGGCTATTGATATTCCCATCCCTTTAGAGAGTCTTAATTAAAATGCAGATTTTTATTATGGTTTATTCTGGTCCATAGAAGGCTATTGATATCCCATCTCTTTAGAGAGTCTCGTACCAAGAGATGCCAACTGAAAAAATACTGTTTATGATAAAACTAATACGATTTCCACTAACTACGTTTCTGAAATATGATTACTGAAAGTTTATTTACGCCTGTATTAATTTATAAAATGCATATAACAAGCATTACCTGTATTTCTACAGATTGATCCAACAAGAACAATATCTGCAGGAAAAGTGAATCTTGGAGCGTTTAGGACATATCCTAAGGTACACAGTTATAATTATCTAACGTGTGGTCACTAAGCTGTCTTTAAATAAGTAATAGATTGGTTCTAAAGATTGCTGCAGTTTGAGCATCTGACAGTTGGATCTGCCTTGCTGTTCTGGCATTTTCCATCCCAAAAGAAAGATGCGCTGATGCACTGGTTATTCCCTGTCTTTGGATATTGATTTCATTTACAAAGATTGCCTCCTAGTTGTTTTTCATAGATTTTTGTCAGCTTTAAATCAAATAGGCTGTCTAGATGGTGGAGCTGTCCTAAAATTATATAGCTCTATATAGCCATTTTTAATGGCTATAATTTTAGGTGACATTCATCAGAATAGATTAATGTTAATTCTTCTCTGTTGTTTTTTAGGCCTAAAATCAAATGTTGGTAGTGTGGTTTATGTTGTAATCTGCTTGAGAAAAGCAAGATTCAAAACTATGTACTTCACTTTCAAATAAATATTATGAATCTTCATAAAATAATGTTAAAAAAAAGAAAGGATTAATTAAACAATATGGAAAGGAAATCACATACTGGAGATCTAGATCTCGAAATGCAGTCTTCCATTTATGCTTCTGGCAGAGATATAACTCTGCTATTTAATTTCAATCTAATAAAATTCAGTTATATCCTTCACATTTCCAGTTACTGTTGACTCATCAGGAACTTCAGTCTGACATCCAGTAAAACTATAATTAACAAAAATGTTTTTGAGAGGTTTCCAGTTGCATTGAAGTATGATTTTTCTGTTGACAAATAAATACATGAGAGATCTTCTTAGAACAATTTATGATTTGGGAGAATATTGACTTCTTTAGGCAAAACCACCTCATAAATACTTTCAGAATTTTGAGCAGAGAGAAGGATCCTGCACCTGAAAACCAAATCCTGTACAGAAAATGAGCATTAGAAGTGTATTTTTAGGAAGTCCTCACAATGGGCAGTTCTTGCCTAGTCAGCAGCTGTGAGTGGCACCATCTTGGCTGAATAAGAAGCTGAAGTTTTAGATATCCCTAAGACATATCCAAGGTGTGGATGTTTCTTCCCTCTTCTTGTGCTTTCTGTTTTCCCTCAAAAGCAGATTGAAATCGCTTCCAAGAATAGAGAAATATTACTGAGAAGAAGCTCGCTCTGTCTGTGATCTAAGAAATGATCTAATCCTAGCTAGTCATCTTACTTGTTTGAAAAATGTCAACTATGACCCCTAGTTTGCTTCCAACATGCTTTTTGATAGACCTGTAAATGCAATGACTTCTAGTAAAGCCGTACGTAAATTTGAGATCCAAGAAAATTCCAAATTTCATGCTACTGGGGGAAATTCCATTTTCCCTAGGAAAAATAAACTGGAATTGCATAAACTAGAACTTTTGTGAATTTTTGCTTTCAAAGAGTTTAGGTGTTTTAAAGTCTCAAAATTACTGTGTCATCTTTGCCCTCTGTTGAATTTTCTAGGGCTACAAACCTCCAGATGAAGGTCCCTCTGAATACCAGACTATTCCACTTAATAAAATAGAAGACTTTGGTGTACATTGTAAACAGTAAGTAATATAAAAACTACTGTCTCTAACACAAGTACTAAATTTTGTCTTTAGGTTAGTGATTCATTACAGAAAAGTACATTTCTTGGAACATTTCAAATCTTGGAGTTCTTTGTTGCTGTAGCGCTGAGGTGGTCAATTTGGGAGAGTTCATTTGGTAGTAGGAAAAATAAACTGGAATTGCATAAACTAGAACTTTTGTGAATTTTTGCTTTCAAAGAGTTTAGGTGTTTTAAAGTCTCAAAATTACTGTGTCATCTTTGCCCTCTGTTGAATTTTCTAGGGCTACAAACCTCCAGATGAAGGTCCCTCTGAATACCAGACTATTCCACTTAATAAAATAGAAGACTTTGGTGTCCATTGTAAACAGTAAGTAATATAAAAACTACTGTCTCTAACACAAGTTGTGATTTTTGTCTTTAGGTTAGTGATGCATTACAGAAGAGTACATTCCTTGGAGCATTTCAAATCTTGGAGTTCTTTGTTGCTGTAGCGCTGTTGTTTTTGTGAAAAAGTGTTATTATCATTTATCAGGAGGTATTTGAAGGGAGAAGTGTTTCAAAGATGAAGATGAACCCAATTAAAAGCTTTAACAGTTGATTCCTGAACACCTTTAGGTGGTGGCCCTTTCGCAGGGCAGGGAGGAAAGGGTCAGGTGTGGATTTATGAGCAGGGCCAGGGAGACTCTGTTTGCTCTTCTGAGCAGTGGCAAATGTGGTCAATCTCTTCCTCCTGCATCACTGGGAGGTTTTTCCATCGCTGTTAAGATTGTTTCTTTCTTTGTTTGGATTGGAAAGTGCAGCTGCTTCAAGAGTAACATCAGGAACAGGAAGGATTACTGCTTTTTCTCTCTTGCTGGACCACTTTCCATGAATTAAAAGGTAGTTTTAACCATTCTTGGCCATAAACCCATGCTTTTAAGCATGAAACATGGATACATTATATCCTTTCTTTTTTAGAGGTGGTCAATTTGGGAGAGTTCAACTTGATAGGTTTTTTTGAAGTTGGAACTGCTTAATAGTTACTGTTATAATCTCCATCTTAGGAAGTTGGCTTCTTGTACAAGCCATTTCTTTTCATCCAGACCAAGAAAATATTTTCTAGCCTTTCCTAGAAGGAAACAGAGTTAGGCAAAGAGAGGGAATGAAAACTGGAAATTGGTCACGTTACTAAATTACTGATAATAAAAAAGACTAGAGTGGTGTTGCCCTCTTGGTAGCATGGGTAGTCTTACTAAGAATTAGAAGTTCAGGAAACTTGAATGATGATCATAGAAACAACCAACACTCACCTCTCTACACCCTCCTTTCAGGGAGTTGGAGAGAGCAAGAAGGTCTTGCCCGAGACTCCTTTTCTCCAGGCTAAAGAACCTCAGCTGCTCCTCATAAGAATTCTTCTCTAGATCCTTAATGATCCTGTCTGTTTGGAATGCCAGTGACTACTAATTGCTTCATAGTAGCAGTCTGGATAATCTTAGTCAAACTTCTCTCCTTTAATTGGTGTTCAATGCCCAATGTGAAACTGCTTCCATTGAATCCTTTTAAATAAGTTTATGACACTATTCCTCAAACAGCTTGGATTTCTAATTTTGAATCTTCCACACATCCCTTTGAAGAACTGACTTAGTACCTCATTTTTCTCAGCATATATGAAATAAGGGTATTTGTTCTATCACAAATTATTTGGTAGATTTTAAAGCACTGTTAATTCAGGTGGAATTTCTTACAGAAATAACAAGCAAGATAACTTTGCAGAGAAATCAAGAGAAAATAAGATTATTGATAACCTGCTCAAGAATTCCCTGATGGCAATGAAGTTTACTCTTTAATGGTGCTGTAACTCACGATGCTAATGCCTTTGCATAGCTCAGCTTTCCATCTGCTTTATCAGCTCTTGTGAATTCTGTAGCACCACTGGAGCCTGGCTTTCAAAATAGCTATGGTAGAACATAAGATTATTTGGTTTTTTTACTGCTATCAGACATTCCTAATTGAATTAGAGGGGATATATGCCAAGCTGCAGTCGTCTGTAAGTAACAGTTATTACAGAATTGAAGATCCCAAGCATAGAACAGGGCATCGTTCCACTGCAAAGAAGTCGTTAAGAGAATAATTAAAAAAGCCCTGCAATCTCATTAAATGGAACACAGCACTATGTGTGGGAGTTGTGTGCACCTGTATTAAAGCTCTATATAAAATACATCTGGAAAAACTTTTAGAGGTAGAATTGGAACTTGGGGTCATTTTTTTATTGTTCAGTGCTTTGAATTTTTGAAGATATTTGCCATTGATAAGGATTTTTTGAGATGCACGTACTTTGGGTGTCACAGACAAACAAGACACATTTAGGTGGAAGCTTATTTTGTTTGTGTGTTTGTTTTTAAAGGTATTACGCTCTAGAAGTCTCCTACTTTAAATCATCTTTGGATCGTAAATTGCTCGAGCTTTTGTGGAACAAGTACTGGGTGAACACTCTCAGTTCTTCTAGTTTGCTTACTGTAAGTATCTGCATATGTTAATTCATTAGTGCTGAAAGCCAGACCCTCTCCTATAAAGTGCTTAATGGGACACTGATAGGTATAGAACCACATTAAGAATCCATTTGTCAGATTAAACAAGAAAGGAAGGTTTTCCTAATCATAAATACTGAAATGTTCCTTATATCTGCTCTTTAGAAGGTGGGAATAATTTATGTTTAATTTTACTGAGTTCTCTATACACTTAGATTTTGTCTTAAACACCTTTTGACCTTCTCTCTCTTTACATCACCGTAACGAATAATCATATTGAATAACTGAACACCTAAAAAAAAATGACACCAACCAAAAACCCCAAATAACAGATCTGTTAAAACAAGGTTGCAGCAGAAATACTGCAGGTAGACCTTCAGTGTCACAGCTCAGCATCCAAACCTTTCTTCTGCAAAAATCAATTTTAGACCTTTCCTCTTGGTCAAAACCAACTGAGTTTTATCTAACTCTTTCTTGGTTTCATAACTTTGGGTGTGGAAATAGTAATGAGTGCCCGTTTCTGGCCAGACGTAATGAGCCACTCACGTGCCGCTCGTTTTCTGTATCACTTCAATTGCAAATACAGATTCTTGGTTTCATAACTTTGGGTGTGGAAATGGTAACGAGGTCCCATTTCAGGCTGGAGGTATTGAGCATTTGTCAGATGTTAATTTAAGCTTCTGTTCTCTCAACCACCACTCACGTGCCACTCGTGTTCTGTATCACTTCAATTGCAAATGTAGGTAAAAATGTACAGTCCTATAGTCTCAAAGGCTCTTTTCTAGATTCTGTTTACTTTGTGTAGAAATGCTTGAATTTATAGCTTGGAATTCAATGTGGTTATTGCCTTCTCTCTCCTAAGAATGCCGACTACACCACTGGCCAAGTCTTTGATTTGTCTGAAAAATTAGAGCAGTCAGAAGCTCAGCTTGGAAGGGGCAGTTTCATCCTGGGTTTAGAGACTCATGATAAGAAATCAGAAGACAAACTTGCAAAAGCAACAAGAGACAGGTAAGATAATGCAAACTTGGGTTCTGCCCTGTAAAAAAAGTGTTACTTTGTTTTAAACTTTTATCATGCCTTAATTATAACCTACCAAGATTATAGATAAGAATGATTAGATTATAGGTAGGCATGAGATGTTCCAAATATCACCAGTTATTTTTGAAAGTTTAAGAAAATCTTGCCTTTATTAAACCTACAATGACTTTTCAGTCTTTGTTTCTGGAATAAATGCAGCTCTAGTTTATAGTTTTATTAAACAAAAAAATTCTTGTTAAATTCCATCCGTATACAGCAAACTGAAAAAGATGCTTTTTGTCATGCAAAATGGTAGCATTGCTGGAAAATAGCACATACTGTGTCGTTAATTGGGTTTAAACTAACAGTAAATAGAATTATTATATAGAACGTGATTTGAAGAACTAGTGCTAACAGTCCACTAAGTTTAGTTTACACTTGTTGAATGCTTTCACTCACTTAAAAATTAAGAACTTCCATTTTTTCATACTTCTTAATTAATACATCCATTTTCTACAAATGAGGGAGATTTTTTTGTTGTTGTTTTGTGGTTTTGTTTTTAAGAAGTAGATTACAGAAATTCTGGCCTTTATATTTAGCTACCCTGCCTGATAGCAAATAGTTGCTCTTAGGAGTAAGTGCTTGTTAGAAATTCTGTAGAATCCCTTGGAATAGACTGCAAAAGCTCAATAAAACCTGGGATGTTCTACTTTTTGGATTTGGAGGTTTTCTGAGCCTCTTCCTCCTCATTTTATCCTGATACATAGCAGAGTTTTCTTGCATTCTGTTTCCCCCACCACCACACCGCCCCGCGTTAACACGTGCCATAGAACTGATTTTTGAGATGCCAGATGAGCAGTGAGTTTAATGATAGATAAAAAAAATCAAGAGACAGAAAGGAGGCCTCGTGTGAAGAGACTGATTTATAACAAAATTACTTGCTGGGTACGACTCAGGTGACCGTGGGCTTTGCTTTCATAGAGAGAGAAGTCAACTTGTGTAGGACAAGCTTCTGTTCTCCAGTAAGCAGTGGGGGAATACCTGCAAATGCAATATGGTCATTGCTAAATGTTATCCTAAATACATATAAATCAGAGTTGCTGTTGGGACAGTGGATTTGTTTCCTTGTTAGGGAAAGTTAACAGCTTTCTGACGTTTTCTAACAAACATGATCAAGTTGGGGGATGGGGAGACTCACAGCCAGGTTGGGTGACACCTCCCAGTTCCTGCAGGGAAAGAGTTACAATAGCAATGCTGTAAAGACGTGAGAAGGATGGAGCTGCTGACAAGTTTGCTTTGAATTTGGATCCCTGTTTGGTCCCTTAATACTGACCACATTTTATTTTCACATTCCTCTCATGTGCTTACGTGAAATAACTCCTCTCATCGCTCTGCTGTATCATTTCTTGCAGCATTTCTAGAGATTTTTCTTTTCTGTTTTTATTTAGTCATCATTAATAGTTAGTTTACAAATTGTAAGACTGGAAGGGATTGTTGTTCATAGAATCACAGAATGGTTTGGGTTGGAAGGGACCTTAAAGATCATCCAGTTCCACCCCCCTGCCCTGGGCAGGGACACCTCCCACCAGACCAGGTTGCTCCAAGCCCCATCCAGCCTGGCCTTGAACCCCTCCAGGTGTTTTTGGGTTCAGACAACCACAGAACTCACTTCTCTGAGATCCAGCCTGGTCTTGAACCCCTCCAGGTATTTTTTGGTTCAACAACCACAGAACTCACTTCTGTGAATGTAAGATGTCCTAAATTGCCAGAGAAAGAAGTTTTCTGGAATTGGTCTTTGTGTGTGTAGTGCTTGCTCCAAGCCCCATCCAGCCTGGTCTTGAACCCCTCCAGGTATTTTTTGGTTCAACAACCACAGAACTCACTTCTGTGAATGTAAGATGTCCTAAATTGCCAGAGAAAGAAGTTTTCTGGAATTGGTCTTTGTGTGTGTGTGTAGCACTCATCAGTTTGCTTTTCAATTAACAAAAAGCTGTTGGCAGCAATGGCTTAAATTGCTGTGTGTGACTTTTCTTTTCTGGACAGTTGTTAAGATTCATGGGGTTATGGGCACCCTGAACTTCCAAACCAGCTGAAGATCTTCAAATAAAATGACAGTTCAGTTCAGCGTTTGGCCAACCTTGAATTTATGCTTGTTTTTCAGCTGCAAGACCACCATAGAAGCTATACATGGATTGATGTCCCAGGTTATTAAGGATAAACTTTTTAATCAAATTAATATAGCTTGAAGTGCATCACCAGCTGATACGCATCTCCAAAGCAGACAAAAAGTCATGGTTTCCTTCGCTTGGACTTGTTCAATTTGAGAAATAAAGCTGAAGTGGAAAATTATTCATTTAATTTGTAGTACTTTACTATTCCCCACCTGTCTGACTGGTTTTAAAGAACAAAATGTTCCCAAATGTAGCGCAGCTTTTTGTTCTTTATCATAAAACACCACCAGTTTGGGAGAATTGTTCCAAAAGTAAAATAAATGTGACTTACTGGATTTTGCTCTTAGGTATTTATCTCGATTATCCGACTGCAATAAAACAATTTTGAAAATGAACAAGTGTTTTGGAGCTGGAATTCTTTTATCAAACATTCATCTCCTCTTACTCTTTTGGTTTTTTTTTTTCTTACTATTCCGTAGAAAAGTTGTGTCTGCTGGGTTGGATTAGCCCAGGTTCTGTGTTTAATTTTAAGGATTGCTTATCTTTTAACAAGTTATTAAATCTAGTGGAGCCTTTCCTGATTTAGTTTTACTGGCCCAGCCAGAAATGGCTGTTTCTTGCAGTGATGGAACCTCAGTGTGGGATACAACATGATTTCACTCGTAGCTTCATATGATGGTCACTTTATATTCCTAAGTAGTCGAGTAACAAAACTAATAATTTGGTTTTATGGTATTATTTATTATTTTTTCTCCTGCTCGCCTTCTGTTGCTTGTTGCATTCTAATAATTGAAGATGTTTGGATTTCTTTTGAAGTTTCTATCCTTAATCCCGAGTTTCCTGGCGTTTTTGGAATGTTTGCTTTCAGTATAACTTACAAGGTGCTTTATACAATACGCCATTACGCCTTGTACCTTCACTAACTGAGACTCCTTTGCAGCTTTAACTCTGCCTTGATGTGGGTTTTGGTTTTGTTTTGGTCTGGAAATTTTAATAGCTATTCCTCATTTGGGGCTTTTCATCCGAACGGATTCCAGTGTATTTGAAGCCAAGATGCAAGTTCTACAATGGAAATGTATCATTCAGTGGGGAATTGCAGACACCCCAAAGCAGAAATTAAAGTTTTAAAGCAGCAGCGTTCAACGGTACGAGAAAAATATATTTAATTGGAGCTAGTAAAGTTGAGATAATTACCAGATGTGGGGTTTGATAGAACAATTTCATACAGACAATGTTTTTAGACCCAAGTCCCTCAGCCTTTCCTCATCAGAGAGATGCTCCAGGCCCCTCATCATCTCTGTAGCCTCTGCTGTCCCCTCTCCAGCAGTTCCCTGTCCTTCTGCAACTGGGGAGCCCAGAACTGGACCCAGTGCTCCAGATGGGGCCTCCCCAGGGCAGAGCAGAGGGGCAGGATGACCTCCCTCCACCTGCTGCTCACACTCTTCCTGATGGCCCCCAGGATGCCATTGGCCTTCTTGGCCACCAGGGCACATTGCTGGCTCCTGGGCATCCTGTTGTGATGACCAGTTGTGATTGTGTTGACAATCTTACTATTTTGTTTAGAAGGTTAAAAAATAAACGAAATATTATTAATCATTAATTATCTCTTTTTTCCCCCTTTGCTTAAATCTTGGAGACTTTTTAACTTTAGATAAGTGTTTTAAAATAAACTTGTATGTTACTCTCTCTTTAATAAACATTCTATTTATTTTATCCTTTTTTATTGCTGTACCCCAAAATGTCCAAATCAGGATTGGACTCTCATTATGCTATGAACATATAATTATGTTTATAAACTATATTTAATACTTACCGAAATCCCAATACAAAAGAGTTTGCATATCACACCACACCACAAACCAAAATCCCAATACAAAAGAGTTTGCATATCATACCACAAACTAGGTTAAGATAAAAAGAGAACCCCAAATACTTTTGAAATGACATAACCAGACGTTATTTAAATACTCCAGAGTTGAGCCAGCATCATTTTAAGGGTGCAAGTCCCTCAGAGGTGAAAATGATTAAAATATGGGGTGATAATGCATAAGATTAATTGCATGCACGTAGAATTATTTTTTTCTAGTGTTGAGTCCTGAAGAACTGACATCAGAGAGTCTCCATTTAGTTGAAGGATTTTTTTTTTTTTCTGGAGCTAAAAACAATTATGCTAAACCTTTAAGGGATTAATGAAGTATCTCGTTCCTCGCGGTGTATTTTTTATGAGCTGTAGTTTCACTTTCCAGAGCCCAGGAATAATATCCACGAGGAAATATGTAATTTAGGCGAGTTTATTCTGAGCCTCAGATGAAACTCCTTAAAATATGAAATATTTGCTGTGACGTTTGGTTTGTTTTTAATTATGAAAAATGGCTTCATACAGGGCTTTCTGCAAACTACAGTATCCTGGGAAGTAGCATGGTCCAGTGGATAGGTCACAGGACCGCATCTCAGGAGAGTGGGGTTTCTTCCTGACTTTTCACAATCTGGGAGTGCAGAAACTTTAGCAAGGCACTTTTTTTTTGCCAGAGCAAGTGGCTCTTTTCCTCTCTGAAATAAGAAGATTGATCATGGGCCCTTTAAAAATCCAGATGGGGAAGGATATGTAGGTATCACCCTTTTCGTGCGCCAAAGGTCATCGCTACGTCTCCGGTTGGTCAGATGTTACCACCTTAATTAGTGATTCTTAATAATGCAGTTCACAAAGAGTGTTTACTCTGTTTTGCATACTTTGCCTGTTTAGGTCATCCCATAGGAAACGCTTCAGCCCTTTGAGGGGATTATAAATAATATTGTTTTAGGAACTCTTTGTTTTCAACTGAAACGTGCATTCAACTCCTGGGTAATTTGTCCATCATTTCCTGTGTGAGTTTCTGTTTGGTTTAGACCCAATCACCTTAGGGCTTGTGAATAACAGCAGTGGCATTGCTTTGTTATAAAAGGAAATTAATTTATGTCCCTGCATCTAAGAGCATGAAATCTTTAGTAATTACAACCAGCTGAACTTTCCTCTCTGGCTGACGACAAGTTGCATTCCCTTTATCATTTGAGGTTAGAATGAAGCATATATTTTTAATCTCATTTTCAGTCTGGGTTCCACAAAGCTGGAGATACAACTGGAAAAACCCAGATATTCTTCCAACTTGAAACAAGATGTATGTATTCTATAGGGTGATACAGACTCCAAACTAGCTCCTCGTTTTACCAAGTGTTTGTGGAACATCTTCCTTTTCCACTTCAAAAATTCCTCTTGTGACAACCGGGTAAAATTGTGGAAGTGGCAAAAATGGTTTAACACAAATACTTGAGTAAAACATCAGCCAGGGATAAATAAAATGTAAATAGCATCTTACAACTATGTAAGAACAAAGAAGAATGACGTTGTGAATACTCAGATTTGCTCTCTATACAGTGTTTGACAAAGTAATTCTGAGATACCAGTTCATCTTCTGACTGTTTCTGAAGAATAGCAGCATATAATAATTTTTGCTCTCTCTTCTTGGTTCATTTATCAAACTTCATTACAATTATTTGGAAACCGGGTAAAATTGTGGAAGTGGCAAAAATGGTTTAACACAAATACTTGAGTAAAACATCAGCCAGGGATAAATAAAATGTAAATAGCATCTTACAACTATGTAAGAACAAAGAAGAATGACGTTGTGAATACTCAGATTTGCTCTCTATACAGTGTTTGACAAAGTAATTCTGAGATACCAGTTCATCTTCTGACTGTTTCTGAAGAATAGCAGCATATAATAATTTTTGCTCTCTCTTCTTGGTTCATTTATCAAACTTCATTACAATTATTTGGAAAGCTGTTATTTTCTCTATGGTGAAGAAGAGAAGCAGGTAATGGCTCAGGTCATGCTTCAGCCCCTCCCTTGAATGAGGACACTGGGCCTAGGAATCTTTTTTTTCCAAAGCTGTTATTCTCTCTATGGTGAAGAAGAAAAGCAGGTAATGGCTCGGGTCACGCTTCAGCCCCTCCCTCGAATGAGGCCTAGGAATCTTTTTTTTCTAACCAGTTCTTGAATTTTGTAAAAAAAGAGTAGAATTTATTACCATCCTGCTCCTGTCCCCTTTGCCAATTTTAGCCAGAGTTGGCAAAAAAAGAGTAGAATTTATTACCATCCTGCGCCTGTCACCTTTGCCAATTTTAGCCAGAGTTTGATGGGTTTAAAAGTCACTAGGCAGGATACACAGAGACATCACAAATGGATCATAGAGTCATAGAATGGTTTGGGTTGGAAGGGACCTTAAAGATCACCCAGTTCCAACCAACCCCCTGCCCTGGACAGGGACACCTCCCACCAGACCAGGTTGCTCCAAGCCCCATCCAGCCTGGCCTTGAACCCCTCCAGGGATGGGGCAGCCACAGCTTCTCTGGGC